AGCTGAAGACCAAGGATATCGGCGGAGCCACTTCCATACAGGTACGTGTTTATATTTCAATTTCATTTTTTGCGAATTCTGTAAATTTATGTCGTATACAGGCATCAATTATAAAAAAAATACTTTGGCATGTTTAAATGAGTAATGTATTCACTCAAGTTCCACGTGCATCTTTATTTTTTCTGGTAAAAATGGGGGGCACGTCATAAGTGAGCATATCTCTTTCAAAAAGTTTTAAAAGTTTGAGATTCCATTATCTTGGATTGTAATGGGAAATTTTGGACCAAGTTTAGCAGAGAAACGTATTATGATGGAAACGATTGAAAATTTATTGAAATCGGGTTCAATTCGTATCTAAAATCAAATTTGGGTATTTTAATCTTTCAAATACTGTACATTGCAGTTTTAGAGTCACCAAAAGTGGGGTGCGCGTCTTACTCAGAGATACCATTTCATCAAAAATTTTAACAGAATACCTGCTCTGGTGCGCGTCTTACTCCTGGTACTTGAGTAAATACAGTATGTACGCGAGTGTCAACCTTTTTAGAAATTTTTAGAAATGCTAGTGCAAGTGATAATTGGATAAACAACTCCAGCAAGAAACTCTCTACTGAAGTGTGATTAAGCCATTAATTATTATGAGTCAAGGTTCATTTATACTTTAGACAAAGAAACCATAAGCGCATAAAATTTTAATTAGAAAAATACTGTACTAGAATAAGTTCCGTTATTATTTTAATGTGACATCTAATTCTGAGTTACGGTACATTAATCTTTATCAATTTACAGCATAAATTATGCATATTAAGAAATACAGCGCAGTATTAATGCATTTTTTCTGTAAATTTGGGCGCGCTTTTTAGAAGAGATCTGTTTTTTTTCAAATTTTGAACCTTTGTTCCTCTTAAATGAGGGCATGTGGTACTTGGGTAAATACCGTACTTCGTATTAATGCGTTGGGAGTGTAAAGTTTTATTTAAGCTGACATGGCGTCTTCTACATCCGTCTTCTAGGTACATGATGTGACGTCTGTGCATCTTGAATACATATTATGGAAATCTCCAATATTACTTGTATCTTCGAGTTCCGCAATTCAAGAAACATCTTGGAAATCTTGTGTTTTGTATTTTTTGCAGGGCCCGAAAATTGTTGAACCGCCGAAGAGTTTCGCGGATGAGGCGATTCCCACGCCAAATACAGAACCGAAGACGGAGTCGACCTTCGAGAAGAACGCGGAGAAGAAACCCTCGGGCACGAACCAAGTTTCGGCGCCTGTGGACGCCGCCAAAGAAGGTGTTAGCATCCGAGACAAGGTGAAGATGCTGGCATCCCGACCATCTGGTGACGCGGAGAACACGAAAGACGCTGTCCCAGTCTTGAGATCGCGTCCAGTCAGCTTCATCAAGCCGAGTGTACCGGAAGAAGCTTCGGGGCAGCCATCTTGGATGAAGAGAGCGTCTTATATCGCGTCATCTTACGCCAAAGCCGTTCAGTCAGTGCCAGCAGTTGTCGTCACCACCACCGCAGCAACAGTAGCAGCACCACCACCGCCTAAATTTGTTTCTCCACCGCCTAAAGTTGTTTCTCCGCCGCCTAAAGTTATTTCTCCACCGCCGAAGGTGGTGACGCCTACGCCTCCACCGCCAAAGGTGGCGACGCCTACTCCACCGCCGCCGCCGGCGTTCTACAAGCCCAAGCCCTTCAGGCCGCCGGTTCAAAAGCTACAACAGCAACAACTACCCCCGGCGCCGGCAAAGCCGAGTTTGCAAGAGGAAATATTGAACGAATTTATGGTCAAGTCGAAGGAGATGAAGCAGAGGAATGGGTGGACGCCGACTGAGGTGACATCTGTGAAGCCGCCGGTTGTGGTTGCTGTGATGGAAAAGCAGGATGTGGCGTCATCTGCTCCTGCACCACCACCACCGCCACCAACAGCACCAGCTTCGTGGAAACAGCAAGACACAACTAATGTTTACGTGACGCGAACTGGGAAGAAGATCGTGCCGGCAAGAAATGTTCCAGTGCAGGCGGATCCGAGGAACGATTTGTTGTCTGCCATCAGAACTCATGGCGGTAGAGGCAATCTGAAGAAAGTGAGTGATCCTGAGTACTTAATCAGCTATGCTCAACAAACGAGTCTCACTACCGAGTTTTCTTCGCGAACGGAAGGTTTCTCAAGTTTGGCATGTACTTTACCTTGAAATTCTCCAGACCCTCCAAACCACTTTGATTTTTAACGAGACT